TGGTTTCAGCAGTATGGAGGACTCTTGTGCATTCGTATGTGTGTGTTTGTGCTCTCTCTTTCTGTATTACCTAATAGGCCCAATAGGTAGTGTCAGGCTTAAAATAAAACAAATATTAGGCTTTACTTTTCTGCCTAAAAAATGAAAATAAACTTGATTAAATGTTACCTCATTTAAGATTGGGCTCCTGCCACCAAATGTTCAAGCAGAACACCCAGTAAGACTAAGCAAAGTTCTGTGCGTGTGCTTTAGAAGCAGAAGCTCCATTTTCCCCTTTTGTTCAATCTCTCTGTCTGGCAGCTGCTCTTTATTTGGTAACTTCTAAAAGTTTAATTAAGGCACAGGTGACTTATCTTTTAGACCATCTATGAAAAAATAGTATGTCCTAAGAACATCCAGGTTCATTTGTCTGGCTATACTATTTTTACATTCTTTTGTACAGAGCTTCTCAACCAAGTGTTCGGTCAACCAGTAATTCTTTGGTCAAAATCTATGGGTAAATTTCCTGTGCTTGTTGCAAGTCTTTCCAATTACTCTGCACATTTTCTTTGCTGAAATGTCAAGTTTAAAATAAGCCCATTGCCTGCCTTTCCTTCCCTCTGCCTTAGAAATTTGGCTCTGAAAAGCAGCACCCGTCAATAGATTGAGCTAGAGGTGAAGTGCCAAGAGCTTGCAAAGTCTGCTTTTGGCACAGCCAGGTCCTCCTGTGTGCAGATAGGAGCAAGGCCCTTCTCCACACTGAGCTTTGAAGGAGCCTCAGGCCAGGCTGGAAATTTGCAGATATGGTTTTGTCCTTTTACTTAATTGCATCCACGTTTTGAAGCCCGTAGTGAATATTGGCTTGACTGGCAGCGATAATCAAAGAGCTGAAAACCTCTCATTTGTGTCTGCATCTACAAAGCTGCACCTGCAAAGGCGTCTATACAGAGGTTTTTGCAGTTCCCAGCGCCACATGAAAGAAACAAAACCACTTTTAAAAATAAGCTTTACAAGATGTCTCTCTGATGTAAATGGGGGGTACAAAGAGGCACCAATTGAGCAGAGATATTGTGAAGATTGCACGGTTAAATATTTAAAGATCTTTGAAAGCATCTGTAATTATGTTCAGTAAGTGCAGCCTAAATGTTTTTCTTAATACAAACAGGGAGCAGAAACTCAAAGTAGTTGTGTGTCACCTTCTTACAAAGCCGCTTTCATTGCTCCTACTGTATCTTAGAGATACTGCATGTCTAGTTTTTCCCAGGAAGGATCCCTGTTTCCCTTCTATTATTTATGACCTTTGAAGAATAATTGATGGTAAATGTCTCTGTTAGTTCCTGTTTATTGAGGTTACCAATTTGGAAGTGATTAATAAAAGATGTTCTACTTTAGTGAATAATATATTGCTATAAATTCATTTTCTCACTCCCTTGAGCTCTTCATTATTCTTTGCCATTGCTTCTTAGTTAAGCTAAATTGTTTACCTGGACTTTCTAGAGCAATGGTTATCGATACATGGGTCAGAGGGGGTTGGCATGGTACCCAAAGCAGTTTGCAATGGCAGTCTCTTCACAAGCCAGAAATGTCAAGCCTTGTATTTCATGTCTCACTCTTAAAACTTTTCATCTTTTCTTTCTTCCTGTCTCAAAGCAGACTGGAAACCAACATTTTTTGTCTTGGTCCATCAGACAAACTTATTGATGTGTGCCCTGCAGTGTCCTTTTCTCTTGTCCCTTCTAAACAAGTTGCATTAACAGTTCAATACAAACAGTTCAGCTGTGAGATTATCTTGTGATTGTTTGTACCATGTGTCTAAGCATAACTCTTCCAATGTTCCTCATCATCCAGGCAATGCACACATAAAGCCTTGTGGTTATTTCCTTTCTATAGTATCATTTGCTTTTTCTTCCTTTTTATGTTTTCTGATAGAAATTGCACACTGTATTATTCCCTTTGTATTAAAATCCACTTCCTAGAAGTTTGTATTCTACATTCATTTAATAAGAGCTGGGTCTTGTATTCCCCTCCCTCTATACAAAATTGGAACAATATGGTTTTCAGGAGTTCAAATGCAACTCTGTCAGAGGCAGTGATACATCCCACTTAGATGAAAACGTGTTCACTTCTTAGGAAAGACTACATGTGAAGTTTTAATCTTTGTAAAATTCGAAGAAGCTGTTCCAGGAAACATCGTTTTGTTTTGTCACTTATTATTTGCTTACTGGATTGACATCTTGCTACAGCTCTTGGAGACTTATTGGAACTGTAATAGGGTTTACAAGGCTACCACATTTAAGTCTTCCTGTTGCACTGATGAGAAAAGAAAAGGTAAGATCTGCTCCTTCAGGGATGTTCAGCAAATCTTTCATAGGAACCTTTAAAACAGGCGTGATCTCATGATCGATAACCAGAGTGAATTCCAGTGGTTTGTAGTTTTTAATGGTTCAGATCTAGGGCCCCCGACAGCACAAGAAGATAATCAGTGGGTTGCTGCACCTCTGCTGTGGAGCCAGGCTGAGAGGGCTGGGCTGGTTCAGCTTGGACAAGAGAAGGCTCCTTAAGGACAGACCTTAGAGCAGCTCCAGTACCTAAAGGGGCTACAAGAAAGCTGGAGATGGGCTTTGGACAAGGGCCTGTAGGGACAGGCCAAGGGGAATGGCTTTAACCTGACAGAGGGGAGACTGAGATGAGCTCGTAGGCAGAAGCTCTTCCCTGTGAGGGTGCTGAGGCGCTGGCACAGGGTACCCAGAGAAGCTGTGGCTGCCCCATCCCTGTCAGTGTTCAAGGCCAGGTTGGCCACAGGGGCTTGGAGCAAGCTGCTCTAGTGGAAGGTGTCCCTGCCTGCGGCAGGGGTTGGAACTGGATGAGCTTTAAAGTCCTTTCCAACCCAAACGATTCTGTGATTTATTCTATGTTGTCCACACCACTGAATCAAAACTGGCAATAATCCAGCAAGTGCTGGCAGAGAAACTAAAGATGAAGTTGTCTTATAAAGTGGTGTCTACTGTTCTAAATCTTTGTCTCTTAATCAATGCTAACAGACATTGCTAAGGCAGCGTATGGAAAGTTAATCCACTTACTGTCTGATATATTCTGTGGATAAACAAGATTAATAGTACAATTTGTCCTGGATTCTCAGAGTACAGAGAAAGTACATTTGTATCGCGGGACGGGAACAGCGGAGTTATGAGAAACACAGAGATTGCAGCAAGATGCAGTATCCTCCTACTGTGGGAAAGAGCAGCAGAAAAGGATTCTTGAAGAAAACCCCCACCCTTCTGTTACTTGGCAGTGCTTGATTTTAGGTGGAGCTGTTGCTCAGGGAAAGCTTCTTAATTCAATGTAGTCTGGATAGGAAAATATCTTGCTTTGTCCCACTGGTTTGATTAGCTTTTAAACCTTGAAGTTCTTATCATTCTTTGCAGAATGATGAACTCTTAGGGGGAAAAGCTTCCTTTTAACACACAGTCTTATAATTGTTAAACTTTCCTCTGTAATGCAGTGTGGCATTAATTTGGCACTTCAGACATTTAACTCATGATGCCAACTTAGTCTATTTAGCTGGAGTATGTCAATATTGTATCTGAGCATGCTCAATGCTAATGATTTTGTCAGTAACAGACTGTTAATGATGTTATTGTAAAACTCCTTTTGATGTTAATTTGGCCAAGGTTTCTTCACAGATTCCATAGGAACAAAGAGGCCTCTGGGTGTTCTTATGGTATTATGGGGAGCTCTGCTCAGAAGGGTTGTTCTGGAGGAAGACGGCATTGTGTGTTGTGTGTGTGACTGTAGTCCTAGAAAGAAGGTGTTACCAGGCAGGTTGGCTTGACAGTTTTTCTGACAGGCAGCTGTGCTGCTGTCACCCAGTCTTCTCCCTTCTAAGATTTATCAGGTTCTCAAAGTGAGTGTTGAGTTTGCAAGATGGGGTGGCTACAATGATGTGAAACAGCATTGCATAGCAGCTTTTGTTCATCTTGGGTCAAATACAGTTGCTTTCAGAGCAGGCTGATTGACAGGCACAGAGAGACAGAAAATGTTCCCTCCTCCATCAGTGGACTTGCCTTTCTTAGAGAAGAAGCACCTCTTTTCCATGGCACGCTTGAATGCCATGGAGATACGTCTATCCCATGACTTTCTTTCAGGAAGAGAAAATATGAGGTTGTAATCCATCTCCACCATGAAACGAGGTTCAGATAGAATGGGAAAAGAGCAATGGCTGCAGTCCTTTACTCTCACAGCCTTGCAGGAGCTTCCCAGCACTCAGCCCCATTCCCAAGCTTGTATGCCTGCTAAATGATGTGGTGCTTTAGAATGGCAATGGGCTTAGCAGTTACTGTCTGAACGTGGCTCTTGAGGACGAGAAATGAATAATGTAAATGGGAACTGGCAGCAACAAAAATTAAGGGTGTTATCTTTGTTCTCCTGGTGCCATTGATTTCCAGGTCTATTGGTTAGAGGAGAGTGTGCAGAAAAATGTATATTGCTTTCCAAATGATTGTTGAAGGTCTAAGAAGGAGGCAGAAGAATCTGCTTTTCATTAGAGCTGTTTTAAAATGGCAGAACTCTTCCTTTATTAACTTATGAGCTATACCAATCTGTGTAAATGTGATTTCTTTTTCCCCTCAATCAAGTTTCCTGTTTTAATTGATAGTCTATAAAGTTATCTTTGAAGCAAACTCAGACTTTTATCCAGTCAATTTTCAGGATGAATTAGTATGTATCAAAGTTTCATTAGGAAGCAAGCATTCTTCAGCTGTATAAGTCAAGGCAATCTTAAGGTCCTTTCCAACTCTAACTATTCTATGATTCTATGATTCTGTAATAGCACTGGGCAAGATGTTCTCAGTACCCTGTGAGATTTAGTTACCATTAGTAAGTACAGTGTGCGTGGGTTTGACAAGGTCTCCTATTTAGTATTTTTCATATATTGAATACCTAATGAATGGCTTTTATGTACATAAAAGAATAAAATATTGTGCTTAATTTTCAATGTACTTATCATATTCATTCTTTGACAGGTTCTTCTACTCTGCTATTTTTCACAGTTCAGCTTCAGTCATCAGCCTGCACTGCAGGACCGTTACTGGCCACTCCAGTTTGCTGCATCACTCGTACCGTGCCACTTTTCAACATCCAGGAGAGCTCAATGCTTCTGCTATAAAGAATGGGGACATAAAGACCAGCCTGCATATTTGTGTCCTTCAAGTATATCCACTTGAGGAAAAAGCTGTATGCTATTGGATAAGGTCCTGAAACACAATTTAAAGGCATCAGCAGCAGAAAAAAAAAGAATCCTGAAGTGAGAAAAAGACGTGCTTCTTGAGCATGATTCATTTTAATCATGGAGCTGTATAGAAGCAGACATTGATATGATGAAGTTGACGTGTGACAGAATAGCATATGGACTTCCATCAATAAGTCAGCTCCATCGTCCCTCAGTCATCACTACTGTCTTAGTAAACCATAATTTTTAGGGAATTGCTCAGCATGTGTATGAGCTTTCCCAGTCCTAAATTCTTTTTAGCTTCATATTTCTTCTGGAATGAAAATTGGAGACAGTGTAGCCCATAAGTTGCTGTGAAGGCATCGAGGCAGCATCCCTCACTTTTAGGGGACTGGTGTGGTGGTATGCAGGAACCTAATGTTCTATGCAATTTATGATTTTCCTCTTTATTGAGGAAATAATTCTGTTTGTTTGCAGGTTTATGAACTTGCAGACTTGAATGAACAGTACTGAAAGCCAGAAATCACTTTATATCGGCTGTTCCGTCTTAAATGAAGAAATGTTATATATTGTTAACACTCTGATCTCCAAGAGTTTGTGAAAAAGGAATGGTTTTTGAGATCAAATGTCATTTTAAAATGTTGAATATTAATCATTAAAATTTCTTTCTTTAAAAAAAGTAAAGTATCAGTTTTGTGAATTACTTATTTTCTGACAGACACCAGGGACACTGCTGTGGTGTGTTTGTTGGAGGAGGAATACCTTGATCACAAGCATAATGAAGTGACTTGGTCTGTCGTTAGATGGATACTTCGAGCTTGTTTGTACATATCTAACTTCTTCCAAGTGAAAAGTCTTGCCTGAAATGTAGGGTATTCTGTATATAACTATTGCACACATGCCCATGTGCTTACACCGGCAGGAAAACTGGCCTGCTGTAATCTCTGTGTCCACAGGATAACTGAAACTTTCATCCTTCATTGTTCCTGGTGATGCAGAGGCTGGAGCAGGAGCCTATAAGCCGTTGGTTCAGTTCTCAGAGACCTGCTGACGTATTTTGAGCATGACCTCAGCAGGGCAGGTAATGACTGTATGCTGTTTTCCAGCCTGCCATAAGAGGTGGATAGCATCTATATTACTAGCACACTGTGGGATTTCATCCAGCCATATTGTGTACTGCGCTGAGATTTTTCATCTGAAGGTGGTAGCACTATTTCTTCCAATTTCCAATTCACCTGTGCTGCAAAGTAAGTAGGAGCTTCTTGAGATCACAGTTAATTCCCTGAAATGGCTATTTTTCTCTTGACTGAGATTTAGTGAATCACTGACTGATAGCCAGAGGGTTTTGTGAGGGGGTTGTCTTAATAGTGTACAGATCTAGAAGAATTGTTTGCATCTTTGCCAGCCAGCAGTAGACTAGATGTATTCCATGTCTTTTTATTCAGGTTTTCATAGCAGAATTTAAAGCCTAAAATTGAAACTTGCTTTATTTCACTCAAATCTGAGAGAAAGACCTGTCACAAGCTGCTACACTTGGTGAGGTAGGCGGCTTTTTCCCCAGGGAAAGGGAGCTGTTTTCTTTATCACAATGAAGGAGGGACAGAATTTAGCAACTACCCAATGTAAAAGCCTTTGGTAAAATAGGAGCACCATTATTTCTGTTCATTTTGACAACAGGAGGGTCGGTGCTGTAACATCTGTATAAGAGTTAGGCTTTTAGGCTGGTTTATTACAGGAAGAAGAGTCTACTTTACTAAGATGTGTGTTTTTAACCTTCCTCTCTGCCCCTGCAAATGAAGCTATACATACTGACAGTTTAAAATAGCTAATTATCTATCTTTTAAATTACATAATAACTTTCATATAGACCCTAAAATGGACTATTTTGAATGTGCACTGAGGCAATTAGTTGAAGACAGTCAGTATCCTTAATCATAGTTCTGTCTTTATTAGTTTCTAGCCTCATGCTGAATATATTGAAATCCTAATAGCTTTAGAGACAATGAAGTAATGCTTTTCCCTGTAGATGGGGTCCTTGGAGCTGATGAGCAGGTTTGAATCCTTGTGGAGGCTTGTAAAACCAGCAAGTATCAGAGATGGGAACATGAGTTATTTTGCTTCTTACAGGGGATTTCCATTAGTTCTTCCTGGTCAAGATGCTCTGTGTGAAGGGACCTTACCTTTAAGTACAAGATCCCCGAGATGATAAATCGTGATCTGTAGGCAAAAGCAGTTTGTAACTGAGTGTTAATGTTGCAATAATTAATGTGACTAATCTAGCCAGTCTTAAATCTGCTGCTTAGAACGGCAGGATAACTTAGACAACCCTGTCCGCCTATAAGGTGGGCTCAACCCTTTAGCCTCAACGAGACTCTGCATTGAAGGATGCAGATTTCCGGTGTCTGTTTTCTCCCAAGGGAAGGGACTGGAGGGCAACAGTCACTATTGTTTGGGTTATTACACTCAAAGTCTTGTTTATGGGCCAAGGGGAAGCACACATTTTATTGTAAGTAAGGCCATTGTTACTATAAATGAAATCTTAATCAAATCATTATTAGGCTTGATTTAACTGCTTCAGCAGAAACATCAGTTACAATGGTTATGCTCACACTTTTTTGTTTCTACCCCTTTTCCTGATGGTGTGCTCACTCTTCCACTGATTCTCTGGGTCCTGGGGTCGGCAGTTTCAGTGTGGTGCTGCTGAGGAGCATGCAATCTTATGCCAAATCATCAGATACTGGATTTGTTTGCTGGGAGGAATATGGTATTTGTGTTGATGGTTCCTTCTCTGTCTCTCTGTTTTTGTGTTTTGTAGCACACTTTCACGTTCTCTGTTGGCCTGCACCTCCAGTTCACATCCCAATATTCCATATTTGGTGCCTTTTTTGTATGTTAGGTATTATTTCTGTGTTATCTTTGTTACCTCTAAAACCAGGCTTTTCCAGCTTCAGGTCTGCATTTCCTTTAATTGACCATTGGTGAGTTGTTTATAGTGATGAAGTCTTCATGGCCAGCCTGTGCCCCATCTCTTATCATCCCCTGCCTATAATCCTCTATGCCATGTTCTGTATCTTCCCTTCTGAAAGTCTCTGCTAATTGTGCCAGGCTTGTATTTCTCTACACTACCTCATCGTGTTAGAGTCATAAATACCTCACTCTATGTGGACTATTTGTTGTTTCTGTCTACATAAAGCTATAGTTGTACCACATAGAGATAAACATAAGTAAAACAAATTAGCCATAAACACCTGGCCAATTACAGAAATTGCTGCATCAGCTAAGCCAAATCAAAATAAGACTGCAGGCACGTCAAGGAAAGTTCAGTCAGAGCAAGCAGCAGGGTTCAGTCCTTGTTTGAAAACTAAATACAAAGCTAAGGGCCTGTTGCTAACAATAATACCATATTATTACAGGGCTAGGTAGTTACTGGTGTATTGAAACTCAGAGAGCTTGGGGTAAGTCTGTCCTATTCTTTCTTTAGAGAACAGGTGCCAGGAGTCTTGCAGCAAAAGCCTTGCCAGAAAGAGGTATTTTCAGGAAGAATGGGTTGTCTTGTTGGGTTGAAGGACACTTCTTTGTTATCAATCCGCGTTTGTCAGTCACTCCTCTTTATCCCCCACCTGCATTTCCCTCCCATTGACCAATGTTTTCCAGATCTGCCATAAGCATTGACCTGTCAAAGATGCTTACGATCTGTGACATTTGGTGGCTGGGTAGAATGAGAGACTGCGATTTTAATTACCTTCCACCCCACCATGACCCCTTCCCAGAAAAATGTGAGCCCTGCACTTCTCCATGTCATTCATCCTACTGCTGTCCAACTACCATGGCCAGCAAGCACATTCATAGCTACAGCTTCTTTCCCTGCCAGCAGTTTGGGGTATGACAGACAGCATGCACTGACAGAGAGGAAAAAGCAGTGAAGAGATGGGATGGAAGCCAGATCTGTCGATTGCCGAACACATAGAATCATAGAATAGTTAGGGTTGGAAAGGACCTTCAGATCATCCAGTTCCAACCCCCCTGCCATGGGCAGGGACACCTTGCTCTAAACCATATCAGCCAAGGCCTTGTCCAACCTGGACTTGAACACTGCCAGGGATGGAGCATTCACAACCTCCTTGGGCAGCCTATTCCAGTGCCTCACCAAACACCTCTGTAAGAAACCATGTCTTGATATCTCTATACCTACAGCACTGGGAGCTCATGGCTTATAACACAAGAAACCCCCAAGGGAGCAGCTCCATTCACCTGCTGCAATGAGAAGTATCCTCGGTATTAACACGCATCTTTGATCCAAGCTGAGGATGCTTTCCATTCATCCCTAGATGACCTCCCACCTCTGCATGCTGGTTTTCTTTCCCATGTTCCCCATCTGTCTTTATTTCTTCTATTTCCAGGCTGGACATGCCATCCACCCTGTTGAAACCTGCCATCTGCTTTTCTTGGCCATCTAGAAGAGGGTTATACACCTATTTTCAAAGTGTCCAGGGCACAACACAGTCTTTGGAAACATAGCTGGAGATCAGTGGTAGTACTGCCATTATTCTTGGCAATGTTAGGGGTGATTGAGCATTGAAAACACACAGTCAGTATTTTGAAGCTGGTTAAATTGTCATATTACATGACATATATATGAAGATATTCACATGAGAGCTCTAAATATCTAGGACCTGCTCTTTGCTTTCAGTTTAATAATATCTCTGTATTAAAGGCCATTTTTGGTCAGGCTTTTTCACAGGTGCTCAGGCCTGTAGGCTGTTTCTTTATGTTTGCTGCATTTTAAGCACTAAAGGAAAATTGAAGCTTGTAGGTAAATTCATTCTGAGGGTAGGCATTAGAGGAAATGTTAGGACATTTTAAACATGCCTATTTTACAGTGAGGGTAATGGGTGGGTCAGCAGTGCAGTTCCTGAGAGTGATTTTCTTTTGTTAGATTAAACTTCCGAAGTAAAACATTCTGTAGGATGAGATGTCAAATTTCATGTTTGGTTTTGTTAGAAATAATGGAACAGAAAGTGAAAAGTGGGTTTAAATTTGCCAAAGTTCAAGCTGATGCAGCGATTAGCATGTTTTTTGTTGTTTCTCAGCAGGTCATTGCAAAGATCTCTGTTTCCATCAGGGCAACTGCCGTTGTGTCTGAATCCTCTAAGTGTTAACAAAGAAAAAAGCTCCTAAATATTTATAACTTTAACAGCTAACAAATGCTGTTTCTCCCCTCTCAGCCTTCTCACTCTCATTTTTAAAAGCCTTTTCCTTTTGTAATCTGTGGCAGGTATTGCCCGTACAAAGGGATGCTTGCCAACAATTCCAAAAGGAACGTGATAGAATCCATGGGCAGTGATTGTACAACCTCAAACACAGTTGCTCCTTCTGGACCTCTAGTATATAAATCCCAATTTCTAGTTAATAGATTATAAAGCAGAGGGCCAAGAGGGATGACCATCTAGCTCATCTATCCTGACGGCCCATATATCACAAGTAATTGACCTTTATGCAGTACCTTTCACCAAGCTTAGCAGGGTTTATGTTTGGATAAAGCATGTTTGCCAAAAATGCATTCAGTCTTGGCTTCAATGCATTGAGGTAGCAAGAATCAGCAACTTGTGCAGTAGTCCGTACCACTAATATATTGGTTAACTACTTTCTTGGTTAAAAAGTATGGCTTATTTC